TAACATAAACATGTTACATGATTTTCACATTTGCCTACTTGGGGCAAGACAACCTGATGTCTTTAAAATCTTTTGGACTATAGTCCCCATAATCCTATGTTGAACTGGTTTGTCTAATATATCTTGAACTGAAGAACAACTACTGTCTTTGCGACTAAATCAGACTGGATCGTGAATTTCGTCCATATCAGTGCTTTTCAACCTTTCCACAGCAGGGAACTGGCCAAAACAGGAAAACCACCAAGGCAGAAACAAAACCCCCCATACAGATAATACTGCATTCTGTGTATTGGTCTCCAAAGACAATTCCAAAAAAAATGAAAATTCTCCTAAACAACCAGAAACCGAGCAACAAAAAATGCCAACAAAAGAACAAAATACTGAAGTGCGGCTCTCCCTGATCCGTCTCTCCCCTCCCCAGCCTCCCTGCTTGCACTGGCTTACCCTGGGCAAATGCAATGCCAACCAAGGACGAGGTGGTGGAATGCAGCTAGCCCCTGTGGCGAGCAGGATGCGGACCTCTCACGGACTGGCAGGAGATCTCCTGCAGATTTAGAATAAGAAATGGAAATTTAAGAAATCTTGTAATGCACAAAATAAATGTGAATGCAGGGTGGTCCCATCTGAGCGTGTTCCGATTTTTATTTGTGAAATTATGGAGAATCTGAAAATCTTTTATGGAGTAATAGCAGGCAGACACAAATGCAGGGAAGTAAAGGCAAAGTTTGCCCTAAATTGGGACCAAATTCAAAATGCCTTCCTATGAGTCAGTGTTCATTTTTGCCACACCTCTGCTAACGGCTTGGGACCTGGATCCCTAAAGGAGCGCCTGTGTCCATATTTGCCCTCCCGCCCCCTGAGATTGGTGGCAGAGGCCCTTCTCTGGGAGCCCTCCGTGAAAGACATCAGGTGAGTGAGTACCCGGAGGAGGGCCTTCTCTGCAGTGGCGCCCCACCTCTGGAATGCGCTCCCCAGAGAGGTCCGTCTGGCACCGTCATTTTTTGGCACCAGGCCAAGACCTTTTTATTTAAACGATATTTTAATAATCACTGATTTTATTTATTGGTTTTATAATTTTGTGCCAGGATGTTTCCAGATTTTATATATGTATGCATGTATATATTTGTGTGTGTGTGTGTGTGTGTGTGTGTGTGTGTGTGTGTGTGTATTCATAATGTTGGAAGCCATCCCAAGGCTTATGCGAATGGGACGGCATACAAAAATTACAAATAAATAAATAAATAAATTTACCTTCTGCAATAGACCCCCAATGCTGGGATTATCTAATCTGTCCTTTCATGTGTTAAAACACTTTAGAAAATAGCCTATTAATTTTTGAACCAAAGTTGAAATTTTTGTTTTGTTCCCAGTTTTGTTGGAAAAAATATCTATGTGTCTATAGCTGTGGGCGTTAATATGTGTCTTGCACGTTTTATGGCTTTATTTATATCCTGTTTTTCAAAATGAATTCATGGCTTTGTTTTCTGGATTTACATGCTTCCAGGAAATGGAAATTAAGGTAAGCAGTACAGCCAAGAATTCAGTAAAGGCAATGAGAAAAGTAAAGCACACATCATAGAAAACAGAAGCTGTCACAAGTGATGTCCCAGGAGCCGAAGGCCCATGTGGGGAGTGGAGCAGGCAGGGCCAAAGTTGCAAATCATTGAAGGAGAGGCTCTGAGCCACTTACTCCGTTGACGGAGCCCCCTCATACAGTAATTCTCCAACACTGTCAGAACCAAGCCACCACAAACCAAGGCAGTTTTTAACCTCCTGAGGTGTGTAAAAGCCAAACACTAGAATTACAGCACCTCTTTCATTTCCCCAAACAAGAATAGGTTGTACCTGACTCCAGAAGGCATTGCAAAGTAGACTGCATATTTTATAGGAGGGCCCAAGGCTCATTAGTAGAGAATATGCTGTGCATAGAGGAAGCCCAGGCTTCAGTCCCCAACAGCTCCTATTAGGAGACCTCATGTTACAGGGCCTGGAAAGACTGCCCCCCCCCCCCCCCCCCCAGCATGCACATAGGAAGCCATCGCCAGTCCCTGGGTTAGGTAGACCTTTGATGCTGCTCTAGCCATGAGCACTCTCTATCAGTGAAAGCCTAGAGCTTCAGGGCGGTTTTTGTAGGAGAAGAGAGAGGAAGTTCCCCAGTAGTGCAGGGAACCCTGGATAGACTCTCCATCTTAAGCACGCTTCTCAGCTTGCTGCATGCACCCCTTAGATCAACTGTGCAGGTTCTGATATGCTCTTTCCCCCGTCTCTGGTGGGATGTGCCAGTTGAGGACAAAGTCTTCAGCAATGTGATTTATGGAAGTCAGCAAAGATCTAAATCTACCTGATGTCTTCCAGCTATTTTGGACTACCACTACCAACAGCACTAGCCACTAGGACCAATGGTTAAAGGCTGATTTAGATGAGGACAATGTGGCTGTGTCAGTTTGGGGTATGGTAGATGGATTTCAATTAAGGTAATTAAAATGGGAGACCTGTGGCTGAGGAGTGGCATAAAAATAGGTGAGATGAGTCAGGAGCTGATTTAAAATTGCAACTTAAATCGGCCACTGAAAAGGCCAACTTAAATCAGGTTTCCTAATGATATTTTTATCAGTTTACCACTATTATTACAAACAGTATTATTTGCACTGTTTGTCAAATGTATAAAACTAAGCTTTGCATTCGCTGCATTTTTCATGTTTTCCAAGCTTTCCTTCTTACATGTGGAGGGAAAGTCTTTGATCATTCCCATGCAACTGCCTTCCCAGCCTCCAATTCCAGTTGCATTGGAGTCCAGCTCTCTTCAGTCCTAGCTTGTGTGGCTAATGGCCATTGGCCAGGATGATGATGATGATGATGATCATCATCATCATCATCATCAAACATCTGTTGGGCACCAGGTTGGAGAAGGCTGCCTCTAGAGGTAGCTGACATGATGGCTTGTAAGGCTAAGTGAAAAAAAGCAGGGCTTTGCACACCGGACAGCTTTATCTTCTATTCTTCTTCCTTTGCTCACTGTCCTGGCTCTGTTTCATTCTCACAAGAACCAAACTGCAAAGAAGAACCAATTGCCCAGGGCTGATACAGCGAAGCTTCCAAAAGATACACTATTTTCAGCAGGTACTAGATAGAATGTAGATATGTGTATTTGGCAAATTATCAGGTTGCTCATTTACACAGAAAAATCTCCTTTACCTCCGGCAGTCCATTGAATTTAGCAGAAGGAGTCCTTTCAGTTTCTAGTTTCAAGCATAGGGTTAATGTGCTTCTATGCAGAGTATTTAGTATTATCCAAATTGTTATTTGGGGAATGTAGATTTTTTAAAAGAAAAAAGGCAAAGAAGACCCTAGTTATTTATATATTTAATCTGTGCAGGTTTGAGATTTCATTGGTATCCTAGACATGAAATGTTCCATGTCCTCTTCCTGACCCCTTGATAATCATTCCGTGCTCAAGGACTGTGCTTTGCAAGCCTCCCTTCTCCCGTGCAGCCTGCTCGGCTGATGGGAGGGAGTAAAAATGCCTCTTTGATCAGCAGCGAGGGAAACTGTTTGCAAGCAAAAATATTATTCAGAGATGAAAGACTAATGCTTTAGCTTAAAACAGGCAAGGATGTACCTGCTTCGCCTGCACCTACATCACAAACATTAAAGCTTCCCCAACTTACCTGATAACTCCTGGAGCTCTTGGTGTTTAACAGGATAATGAGCCAGGTGGGCACCCAGCTCCTGAGGATTTTCATGATCCTGTTTTCCTTGGGATGCACATCTATAGTGCAGTCCTAACCGGAGTTTTGGGTGCTACCATTAGTTCTTGTCCTGCTCCGCTGACGAAGAACTGTAGTTCTGCATGGGGTACGGGCATTTCAGACAGGAATCCCCTGCATCCTTCCAGGTGCTGCCAGGGGGCTCGAACAGGGAAAGCTCGGTGAGCTCAGGTGCGTTGCTCCTGCCCCTCCCTGGCAGCTGGCCGGCAGAGCCAAGCGAAGCGCAGCTCGGTCTCTGCCGCAGAGCAGTGCCAGCGCTGTAGAGGGGCCGGGTGCCCGCCAGATGTGCTGGACCGCAGCTCCACCGTCCCGGGCCCCGTGGCCACGCTGGCTGCAGATGGTGGGAGCGGCAGTCCTGTACCTGCACCTTGGGAGTGGACCAGCTTGGACAGGGCTGGTCTCAATGGTGGGAAGGGAGTGTTGCCGTCTGCTTGGCCACGAGAGTGGCTGCCCCCACAAAAAAATCTGACAAGAATGCTGCCGCAGCTCAGCCCTTGGTGTTGCTTTGCTGCATTATCCCATTATTTTTTAAAAAATACATTATTTTGACATCCTACCATTTTTCTTTCCAAGGAGCTCAAGGTGGCTTAAATAATCCTCCTGCTTTCAGCCGTATCCCCACAACAACAACCCTGTGGGGTAGGGGGGCTGAGAGTCCGACTGGCCCCAGGCCAATCAGGACGCACCGTGGCCGAGGCGGGACTAGAACCCAGGTCACCTGAGCCCCAGTCCCGCACTCTTAACTGCTGCACCACGTTGGCAGATGAATGGCACCCTGCCGGGGAAGACTGCTGCCTGGGAACGTTTTAAGACATGCTCTTTACAGATAGAAAGGGAGGCTTGTGGAAGCTTCCCGCCTGCCCCTGAGGGGGCTGCCCTGGGGCCCTTCTGCGGACCACGAGGACCAGGAGAGAGAGTGCACGGGAGGCAGGGTTCAGATCTGAACTAAAACACTACGTTCCATAAATGGTATAAAAGCAACTGTGCCACAGGTTGCTTTTATACCATTTATGGAAAATGGGAACGGGGGAATACAGAGGGCGGGCACCCAACTTTCTCAGTACTCCCATCACGATCATCATAAAAGCCTTGGCAGAACCAAACAGGCTGCAGCTTTCATCCCCACGTAAGGGTTAACAGGCATAATTCATACCAAACTGGTGCTTTGCTGGAGTTTGCTTTTCCTTGATCCAGTTTTCTCTCTTTTGTGTGTGTGTGTGATGCTTTTTTTAGGCCAAGCAGCTGGAAGAGAAAGACAGAGAGCTGAAGAAGCATGAAACATACTACAAAGAGCAGCTGGCTCGCCTGGAAGAGAGGGTGAGAGAGCTTATTCTCTTTTTAATGAAGGGTTTTGCTGTTAATTCCTGTTAGGCACTCAGTTTGGGACTAGATTCGAATTGTGCGGTCTGGATGAGAAGTGGGCTACAGCCCCTGGCATAAGCCCAGGGACCAAAGGCACCTTGCATCCTCTGCCTCCCAGGAAGAACATCGCATCCCGGAGGAGACCGACCTGGCCTTGTTCCTCAGCCAGAGAAGGGGCACTTGCGGGAGCTGGCTTCCCATCCGCCTCTGCCCAAGAGTATTCTGCTCCACTGGACTCCCCTGCACTGCTTGCAACAGTACAGGGCACGAGTGGCCGGGAGCAGACAAATGCACCAGGGCCAGGCAGCGAAGCGAGGGAATGCAAGGCCAGAGCCCAAGTCACAGTAGCAGGCAGGGTCAAAGTTGGGAGGCTGGCGAGGTCGAGCTGGCGAGGTACGGTCTGGTAAACAAGGACACAAGGTCAGAATGAGTCAGAGGTCAGGAGCTGGCGAGAGAGCACAGTAAGGGGGTGGGTACCTTGGAGCCGGAACCAGGAGCCTGGAGCAGGCAGGAGCCACGCACCGAGAGAGGCTTCCGAGCACTGGCGGCTGCAGCAGAGTCTGGGGCCAGGTCATCATTCTGCTGCTGGGCCAGACCCTGCCACTGCTTGGGCTGGGGGCCTGGAGGCTGCTGGGCAGAGCGGGACTGGCTGTGTGGGTATTATTACCGGGCTTGGTAGGGGCTGCCTCAGCTTGCCTGGCTGGCCAGACTTGGTGGCCCACTTTGGTCTGGGTATTTTTCACGGGACATTTTGAGTATTCTTTTCCTTCCTAATACTTCTTACGCTGGAGGGCCAGTGTTGCTTTAAAGAACTTAAGGGGGCTGTCCCTTCTGCCTTGTCCACTTGTCATAGGAATGGAAGCACTGTATTTTGATTAGAACCAGCTAAAAATCACAGATTAGGTTAAGTGTTGAGTTTCATAGAATTTTTACTCTGGTTCAGTTTTAAAAGAGGAAGGAAGGAAGGAAGGAAGGAAGGAAGGAAGGAAGGAGGGAGGGAGGGAGGGAGGGAGGGAAGGTGAGCAGGGAAAAAGGGAAATTTGTTGCCAGGAGAAAGTATGGTAAAATATCAGCCAGAATCCCTGAAGTCTGTTATGGGGGATTCTTAACATATGCCTACTTTATTATTTATTAACATTTGTAAACCACTCTACATATAAAATATATTTCCAGTCATATCATGCCAATATCATATTATGCCAATAGGATCATGGATGGTCTTTTACTTGGGGGAAGGCTTGCTTAAATAGAAATGTCTTTAGCAGGTGCCGACAATGCAGTGTTGGTGCCTGCCTGACATCAGCGTGCGGCTGTGAGGTCTCCAGAGAGGGAGTGAGTGCCCTGAAGGCTCCGCTCTGAGTGGACTTTATATGGACCTCAGGACAGGTCCCTGTGGGACCAGTTGATTTTTCATTCTAGGACCATATTGACTGGGCAATTGGTAAGGAGGACGGCTTGCTTGCAGGCACCCTTGTGCCAAGTTGTTTTGGTTTTCCTAAACTAGTAACGGACCTAAAGTCTGGCCTGGAGTAACCATCCCTGAAAGAGGAAGATCCCAGCAATGGTCAGGTGGCTGCGTTGTACCTGCATCTTTTGGACGAACCTTAAGAGCAGCTTCCCCCAAGAGGGGAAGTTGCAGGATCCTCATCTCGAGGTCCCTCGTGCCCGTGCAGCTGTGTCCAGATGTGACTGTTGCTGGGGGTGGCAGCTGAGCAGGATAAGAGGCAGTCCCCAGATGCCGTGGCAACTTATGGGTAGATTGTGTCACAACCCTAAGGAGATCACTCAGACTTCGTACAAAAGGTAACTGTGCCTTCTGGAAAGGCAAGGAGAGCAGAAGAGACGGCATATTCCAGGTGTTGAGAAAGTCCTTCGCTTCAGCAGCTAGCACTTCCGTTTTGCATCAGCGCTTCATACGGTTATACACTTCTGCCTAAATGGATGGCATTCTCAGAATTAAGTCAAGGTGCCATATGCATTTTGCTCCATTTCCTTGTGAAAAGTGGTTAGTGAAACGTCGGAAGCTGCTTTATTCTGAGCCGTCCATTCAGTTCGTGAGGACTGGCCCTGAGGACTGGCATTGGCTCTCCAGGGTTTCTTTCCTAGCCCTGGCTTTTATTTTATTTTATTTTTTATTTATATCCTGCCTTTTTCCTACAAAGGGCTCAAGGCAGCTTACATTATCTCTCCTCCTCCATCTTATCCCCACAACAACAACCCTGTGAGGTAGGTTGGGCTGAGAGACTGTGACTGGCCCAAAGTCACCCAGTTGGCTCCATGGCCGAGCGGGGACTCGAACCCAGATCCTCTGAGTCCCAGTCCCATGCTCTACACTACACCACACTGGCTTGAGATGCTGTGGGCCGAATCGGGACCCTTCTGCATGCAGAATGTGTGCTCTGCCACCAGACTGTGGCCCTGCCATGCTGTGATTCCTGAGCTGTGATGGAGGTGTGTGTCCCCACTTACACCAAGGAGAAACTGTGCCTTTGAGCGCGGATGCTTCTTAAAACATAAAGCAACGGAGCATGCATGGATCGTATTGGCAACAAAACTGGATTCAGTCCTAAACCGATTCCTCAATAAAGCACCTTGATTCTTGTGAGGCGGCGTTTGTGTGTATCGCATCTCTAAGAGTCGGAGCACCTCTGTATAATTAATTGGCTCTTTTTATTAGCTTTCTTTTTTCAATTAGCACTTTTCATATCCACGTTCCTCTGCAGCAGAGACACCTCTGCAGTCATTGATAATAACGGAAGATGACAACAGAACGGATTAGTGTCAGCGAAGGATGCTCTGTCTAGAACAGAGTTATTATACATATTCACTGCCAGATGACGGCTGTCATTTTAAAAATATTTCAGAGGCTGGAGTGAAGATGCACCACGTTCCTTGGTGAGGATTATGCCGGACAAAGTGATTCCGTATCACTGACAGCTGCTCTGCTAAAACATAAACAGTTCTGTTCTTGGGTGCAACAGTCATCCATAAATATGGCTTATGTGCAAAAAACAAAAACCCCCAGCAAAACCCTTGATACTTAAAAAAAGAAAGAAAGAAGGAAAGTGATTCCCCAAACAGCTGCCAGTATTTTAGTTCAGTGATGGCATATAAGTTGTGAGTTATTGCGCAACCTATGGCAGCTAAGCAAGATGGAACAGCTTAACAAAGGAGGTAAAGAATAACCTTCCCATGCAGTATGTCTGCTCAGGCTATAAACTCGTTATTTAAGAGTTTCCCACATTAGATTTCAAGAGAGAGATTCATTCATCAGTGCTAAAGGGACATTTTCCTTTTCAGACCCTGAGAAAATATGATCCAATTCTCCTGATTCACGTTGATATCAGAGCTGTCCTGCGAGCTTTCAGTACTAGGCACAATAGCCGAGGATGGGATGGTGTAGGTTTGCCTTTCTTTCTTAATGTTGAATGAAAACCTGCCAGCTCATAGTATAAAAGGCTGGGTCTAATGCAGTTGGAGCCCATAGTGGGCTAATTGCCATTCTTGTATAGGAAATGGCAAATCAATGGGAAAATAGATTGAAATAATGAAGACGCTTAAAATGGGAGCACTCGCTTTGCCTTCAGCAGGAGACCTCCGCAAAATGCTCTCAGACGCTTCATCACCATGCCGTGTCATTACTGCATCTCCAAAGTACAGATGCTAAATATTGACGAGAACCAGCAATCCGTCATTGCCAGGTATCCTCTCCCTCCACCCCCCCACCCCCCCACCCCTGGCCACACACAGACACCCTGGCCTGGCATGTTTCAAAATTATGCGCATGCCGTTGGGGCAAAGCATATCGTCCTTGTTTGAAAGCACATGCTGGAACGGGCCTAATCAGAGCCAGTGTCATTCAGTGGATATGCCGTTGAACGTGGATAATCCACCAGATGCAGAGCTGGGAGAGATCTGTGTTTCAATCAGACCTCGAATGTGTTGGATGTTCAGTCACTAGTGACTGACTCGGGTTTGCTTCCCTGGCGACTGGAACCGGCAGTCCTGAGGACGGTGCAGTGGCTACCTGCAAAATGCCACCTGCCAACTACTGAGCCTGGAAATGACCCCACTATACCGTGCAAAACCACGTTCTGCATGTAAGCATCCTCAGATCAGTCCTTATTTATATATCAATGCATAAGGTAAAGGTAAAGGTTTCCCCTTGACATTAAGTCCAGTCATGCCTGACTCTAGGGGGCGGTGCTCATCTCCGTTTCCTGGCCGAGGGAGCCGGCGTTTGTCTGCAGACAGTCTCCGTGGTTGTGTGGCCGGCATGACTAAACACCGAAGTGCACGGAACGCTGTTACCTGCCCACCGAAGTGGCACCTTTTCATCTACTCGCATTTGCATGCTTTCCAACTGCAAGGTGGGCAGGAGCTGGGACGGAGCAACGGGAACTCACCCCATTGGGCAGATTTGAACCGGCGACCTTTCGATCAACCAGCCCAGCAGCACAGCAGTTTAAACCACTGCGCCACCTGCAGTCCTCCTATAAATGCATACATGTACATAAATATGTAACAGATGCAGTCTTTTCTGCCTCTTTGATGCTCTTAAATTTTAGTTCCTCACCAAAACAGTCCAAAATGACACAAGAGCTACTGCCAGAGGACGAGATTCCCAGTTTGGAAGGCACTTAACCAGCTACTGGAGAAGACAAGAACAAAAAGTGCTGTTGGAAAGGAATTTTACAGGCTGACATGCCCAGAGACTAATGGAAGATCCACTGCTGCACAACACCATATTGGTGGAACATGGGATGTGAGAAGTATGAATCAAGGCAAACGGGAAACTACAAAACAAGCAATGGAATGGTTAAGCATCACAGTATGTGGTGTGAGCAGACTAGGCTAGCCTGGAATGGGACATTTTCAAGTCAGAAAAAACACAGTTTTACTCCAGAAATGGCAAACCCAGAAGAAATGGAGTGGCTGAGGCAAGAGTTGGCACA